AATAAGAACGACTACTATATATATATATATATATATACTTTAGTGGTATATGTACCCGTAAAGTGCGAAATGAGATACATACGACGACAGATACATATGTAGAGGAATACATAGAATCTTCGATACAGAAACAAAGAACTCAATTGCTCAAAGCCATAGCAATAAGACATACTCAGCTCTCTGGGGTTGTAGTGTACAAGTCAACGAACTTTCCAAATCGATAGTCTTTTGGGCTGCCTTATCATTGAGAAGACATCAAACACTGACAACTCATACGGACATCACACACACCTATACCACGAACAGTCACACTTCGAAAACGCAGCACGACATTCACTTGTCAATCGCTGAAGATACAATTCAGACAGCCCCAGCGCATACGTATCCCGCTTCTCATCCCGCTTTGAGCCACCCACCTGATGGTCTTGACGCCCCACTAAGCACAGGTTGCCATGGTGATCATAGTGCGCCAAATCCCCCGTGGCGTACATCCTCACCCTCTTTCTCTTCGTACCAACAGCCCCACGCACAGTGGGTTGCGATATATTCTCCGCTGTCGTATTAGTACCATCCTGCAGCCCTGTTTCCACACCAGAGTTTGGGCGGTGTTGTACTTCCTCTAGTGTGTCCGCTACACTTACACACGCCAGTACAGCCTTTTCTTTCTCTACCGCAGTAGCACCGGGTGCCTTGTCTGTACGCACAGCAGGTGTCGAGCGTGTATTCGCCTTCAAGTGTGCTGGTGCCTTTGTATACGTGGTGTGACGCAGGTGTGTGCTTGGTTGTGTCCGTGTGTCTAAGTCAGACGCTATGCTCGCGGTTGAATCTGCCTCCGCCTCAGCATAGAAGAACGGATACACAAGGTGCGCCCGCGTGGCTGTAGCATTAACTTGAGCACATTCGCGACCCTCCAAACTACCTTCGCCAACTTCAATACTGACCATGTAATCCGTCTTTGGGCTGGGCAGACCGGTTCTAAGTTCGGGGCCTGAAGCACCTGCATTGCATTGTCCTGGGCTATGGCTGAGATCGGCTGCTGAAGAAGCCTGAGCGTACCCCAGCGCCACCTGATCCCCTCCCAGGCATATCTCGCCCACCACCAACGCTTCCTGGGGAGGTATCAGGTCTATTAATGGGTCTACGCCTTCACGCTGGTGTGTACCCGTGCGCACGTCTGTGTGCGTGCGTGACTGTGTATCCGGGTGCACGTGGGTGTCTTGGTGAATGGCGGGGGGTGTGTGCCTGTGGTCTATGCGGCTCTCGGTCTCGTTGTCGTTGTGTGTCTCATCTGGTACTCTCCTCAACCGCAGGACCACTCCGGGTAAGGGTCTGCCGATGCATGCCAAAATGTCCTGATATCGGGCCGTTCCAGCGGGTATCTCTGTGGTAGTCCCTGGCCATTTGCCACCGACCCCCTCTGTATTCACATCTCTATCACCATACACATGGAAGGTCTGGTATGCGGTCGCCTCAGTCACACCATACGTATTGATGAGCCTGCGCCCGCGCACGGCCCAGGCCGTTGCCATGGCAACGGACATCGCATCACCGCCCAGAGCGATTGTCTTCAGGTTGGGTAGGTATGTATCACACGCCGACGTAGGTACCAGAGACCAAATTGCCGGTGTTGTCAGTATATGCGTGGCCTGTGTTGAATGTTCGTAGTATTAGTCCGCTAGTGATTTTGGGCCGCTGGAAGGTATGATTTTATCTTCAAGGAGACAGAGTTGATTTGCTACAGACCGTATTAAATCAAGCTCTCCTCGTGAATGCCTACCACACACTCCTCTAAACGAAACCAAAACACGACAGAGGTGCAAGGGCAATCAATCATACAGCGTCATGGCTGGGATGCCACTGATACTCGCGTGGTCTCCGGATTTCATGGAACGAGAATTCATTGTATGAGAATAGTATGAGAATCAAAGAATACGTTACATAGCAAGCAGCTCACGACATTATACTATACTTTTCTGTCCGTTCCAGCTGTTTGTCAAACAATGCAAATCCGATAGTCAACAAGTCTGGTCATCAATACCATCCGTCATTAAAGACAGCCACACTCATTATGGAGACACCCCTTATCCGATAGTATGCTGAATCTATCACGTCTCAGATGAGACAGTGTGATGTGGATGACCGGCAATGTTGTATAAGACAGGCCTTAGTCTGTTGCAGGGCATCCGCCCGATTGACTATCACCACACCTATTTATAAGGCACCCATTATCGGACAACATGAAGAACCTATCACGCTTCATCCAAGACAGTGTGGTAGATATGACCTGCAATGTGCTACAAAGACTGACCTTGGTCTGTTGCAGAGCATCCGCCAGGTCTTCAGTCAAGTACGACCGTTCCGCGAGGAGACAGAGAGTAGCGCCCACTTCAGTTGAGAATTAAAAGGCGAATCCCCGATGGACGAAGGGCAAAGAAACATAGTTAGTAAGATTGAAATAAACAGGCAGTATTACTGCAGTTTGTGTACTTATATCCTGGAA